TCCCGCCCTGGTATAATATAACAGTGGGCAGTACTGTACGGATATCCGCGCAAAGTTGAGAAAGGTCGATGAAAAGACTAGAACAGCCGACGAACATCAATCACGCGTCGTGCGTTCCAGTACTCGTGAGACATTTTTCACACCGGCTGTCCTTCCGTCCGTCTGTCTGTCCTTCCGTCGGTCTGTCTGTCCTTCCGTCCGTCTGTCTGTCCTTCCGTCCGTCCGTCTGTCTGTCCTTCCGTCCGTCCGTCTGTCTGTCCTTCCGTGCGTCCGTCTGTCTGTCTGTCCTTCCGTCCGTCCGTCCGCCCGTCTGTCCTTCCGTCCGTCCGTCCGCCCGTCTGTCCTTCCGTCCGTCCGTCTGTCTGTCCTTCCGTCCGTCTGTTCCATCTGTCCGTCCGTCTGTCCGTCTATTTAGGCGTAGAGGTAGGTAATAGTTTGTATCAAGTGATTTGCATAGTAGCAAAAGAACTTCTTTATCCTCTTATTCGTGGAGTTGACATCATGAAGCAACACAATCATCAACGTAAAAAATTATACTATCATATTAAACCCAAATAATCAGACATATTTGGATTTCAATTCATTTACCTGGAATTGTTGGGAAGTTGTATTGTGGAAGATAATGAACAGTTGCAAATTCCTTCTCACGTGCAAAAAAATTCAAATTTAATTTTAAAAACAGAAAAAGAAATTATCAAAACCTAAAGTTGGTTAAAAAATCAACGAGTATTTTGTAAAAGTAAACAACCTGCAAAAGTATTTGAATTTCACATAGAGCTAATAGGTAAAACGCCATTCATGGGGTATCAGTATGCCATTCCCGAGAAACATAAAGAAGAAATGGATATGTTGATTTCTACTTTGGTGGAATATGGTGGATCAAAACATTTTCGGAACATATGCTATAGATATTAAACCAACTCTAACCCCAACCTTTGAGCAGAAAGATTATCACTGCTTCAGACTGTCTCCTTTAGGGGTAAGTTTCATACGGGCGGAGTTAAAACAAATTTTTCAAACAACTCACTGGCAATTGTAAGCATCCACTCCTGGGTATTCATTCCCGCCAGGTAAGGTACGTCATGTTGGCAGCCTTGCATGATGAGCTGCTCCGGTGCGGCCGTCACGAAGGTTTCCACCCCTGGGACCTTCTCCTCCTCAAGTGTGGGGCTGAACGGGAAAAGTAACAAACGGTCTCGGTCCTGGAACAAACCCGAGACATTCACGAGACCTCTACGAACGAAGGAAAGTGGATTTTCAAAAAGCGAGATATAATCCTCTGTTTTGAATTGATTATTTCGTGTTTCTGAGTGAGGTCAACTAACCATTAGTCCCGTAAGTGTAGTGCATGCATTTATCATGTGATGTGGCGGTTACACGCACGCGACCATCACCGGCGTTCACGCACACGACGCTCTCATCACTAAGCACTAATTCACACATCAACTAAGTTAATGAAAGATCGTGACGCAACGTTTGTTATTTTCCGAAAAAAATAAATGCGAACTACTTAAAAACAGTGCAAAATGCTCGCAAATTTAGTGACGCAGAAATGTCACAATGCTAAAATAAAATATTTCCACACCATCTTCAGCAGAAACAGCGACTCGAAAACGATATGGAAAAATCTGAAAAATCTAGGAAGAGGCAAAAGTTCTCCCCAAAGTGAAACGAATATACCCTTAGAATCTCTAAATCAACCGAAGAAAGAAACGTTAGAGTATACCAGTTCCATGATACAGTAACAAGGAAACTTCTTACAGTATCAAGGATCTGGAATACTCCAACGGTTCTTTTTTCGGTATCCTTCATTTAACAGTAACTTAAAAAGGCAGTCTCTTGCGTTTCTCCAAAACTCAGCAAAACAAAATTCAACGGTAAATTTTTATTTTCGTCCGTTAAACATCAGGATATAATGAAAATCGTTGAAAGTCTCAAATCAAATGCTTTAGATTTCAATAGTATAAATGCAAACTTCTAAAAATAGCCTAGATGTGATCTATCCAATCGTCACTGAAATAGTAAATTTCTCACTAATAAACGGACAATATTCCTTTTCCTGGAAGACTGCGTGTTCGTGCATCCTATTCTCAAGACAGCATCAACCAAAAGCCCTATTGAATACCGCCCAATTAGCATCCTCTCGACTATCTCTAAAGTATTCGAAAAAGTCGTCAAGGCACTGTGTTAAGGCCACTGGCCTTCTTAATCTATGTAAATGTTGTAGGAAATGCACTTAAATATGTCATCAAATGCATGCTGATGGTCTCCAGGTATATCTAAATGGTCACCCGTCTCACCCGTTAACGCTTGTACAAAAAGTTAATGAAGATTTGATAACGGTAAACAACTGGGCAGCGTCTTTAGGGCAACGTCTCAAACCCAAACAAATCACTGTGCATTATTATGAGTTCAAAAAGCACTATGAATAAAATCTTCTACTTCGTCTAATATTTATGTAAATGATACCATTCTACCTTTGTGTTCCGAAGTTAAGAACCTAGGTGTAGTTATCGGCAACACTCTCAGCTGTAACTCGCAAATAGATTCTACCTGCCGTTAAGTTTTTGCCTCAATGCATTCACTGAAACGCCTGGAAGCTCTTTTGCCATGTATCACACGTGAGACTCTCATCAAATCACTTATCGTGCCACATTTCGACTATTGCGACTTTCTCCTGACCAATATGACATTCAAATTACAAACGTTAACTCCAAGTAGCCCAGAACGCATGCGTACGTTATATTTTTGATCTAAGAAAATACGACTATGTGTCGGAATTTTTTGACAGAATTCGTATGCTTACTCTACACAAAAGACGGTTACTCCACTCTCTACTTCTTCTTTATAAAGTCTTAACCGGTTCTCATGTAGCACGCCTCATAAGTAACATCAATCCTCTGAAGCTAAATCGAGCTCGTGAATCAGCTCTGCTTTGTGTACCACGTCACAACACGACTTCGTTCAGTAGATCATTCACCATTACAGCTATCCGAGCCTGGAATAAATTACCAGCGAGTCTAAAACATTGAAATTCTTTCGGTAAATTCAAAAATGAATTAACCACATGGGTAAGGAATAACGACCCTTAGAATGGCATTAACGTCTTTTTCAATCTTCACACTTCTCCCATTTCCAAGCGCCCGACCCCCGTTAAACACCGAACATTCCCCCTCCCTGTTTCCAAAATTTTACCCCATACCTCATTGCTCTGTCCTCATTTTCCATTCCTTCTGGCACCTTCTAAGTTATTAGCATTATTTTTTCTCTGTACCCTAATGAAATAATTTAATAAAAGATACAAAAAATATTAGTGACGTTCCATATAAAATATACTTGTATCTATCTTTGTACCATCATTATAATATTTATTACAATATATTGGCATAAACAAAATTGATGTTAACATGCCAGCACTCTTTATATTGTTCCTTATTACTGCCAATGTTGTGTTTAAAATTACTGTTGTTATTTGCTTATAGTGTATTGTGCTTCTCCGGAATTACAATTATTTTATATTTATGTAAAGTCGTACTGTAAACCAAAAGTAACTTTCTGTAACGATTCTCAAATAACTTCACTTTTTTGCCTACTTCTTCTTCATACTTTTCTTCGCTTCTTTTCTCTTCCCTCTCCCTCACAAATTCCATCATTTTTACTTTATGACCCCTTGCCCTGTACTCATTTCTCTTCCCCTTCACTTAACTTCCATTTCACTATTATGTATACAATACTCAGTTCTATTAATGTTCGGCCCTAAGCCGTTATTCTAATTGAGGTTTTTCTGGGTTTTCTCAATCGCTTAAGGCGTATGCCAGGTTGGTCCCTAGATTTGTACTCCCAGACGTAAATGTACAGCTTGTCCTCCCCTCCTAAAATGTTACTACTCTAAATGTACGTTAATTCAGTGGTTAGGCGGAAGAGAGGGATTTGTGGCCTGAACCTCACTATTAATAATGGCATTATTATTATTATTATTATTATTATTATTATTATTATTATTATTATTATTATTATTATTATTAAATCCCACTGCACGCCATTCCGTCTACCTTCTGACCCGCACGTTGAACCACGCCAGTCGTGCCCGACGATGGCTCGGCGTTAGTGGCAGTATGCACGATTGTAATCATGCAGCAAGTAACCGGTTACCAACGGTGCGTGGATACATGTTGGGGGCGTCATGTGCCTGTATCTTGGCGTGGGTGGCAGAACGGTCTGCCAACGCCGCCCTCACGATGCGTCGATCTTGGCGTCGGTGCTCCGCGGTCGCCCTGAATGAGCCTACTGCTCTTCTACCCGTCATCGCCAGCACCGCAGCACCGACCGGCCCGCATGGTCAGCATTGTGCCGTAAGATCCATCGGGCTTCACATACGCTGCCACTCCGAACCCCCTCAAACTGATCCCATTGCTTCAAAGACGAACGAGTGCAACGCGGTGACATACCTAAGTCCCGACTGGAATTTTAAGCCGTGGACAGCACCTTTTAAAGGGGCGGACTGTTCCGGGCCGTTCCGTCACCTTCCCATTACGTCACAGGACATCAGTCATGTAAAATGTTAATCACGGCTTCTACGACCCCCTTCCCTAACGCTCCTTATCGCCTACTTGATGGCTCGTGCCATTCCCGGTGTTGCAATACATTTTTCCGCCAGTGTATTTCTTGAAGGAAGAAAACAATAGCATTTAGTGTACACCCGTTTTGCATATATCGTGGTTTTAATCCTTGTCTATAGTGCGATATTTACACCTGAGCGCCTCAAGGCCCGTCTTCACGGTGGCATTCTGTCTCAGTATTTCGCGTCTTTTTTCGGTCGTGCCGCTAGATGTCGCAATATCGTGACTATCAAGCACTGCTTGATACGGTCGCGACATCAGCCGGTACGCCCGAAAAAAAACGAGAAATGCAGTGACAGAATGTCAGTATGAAGACGGCCCGTCGAACACACAGTTATAAAAATCGCACTACACAACAATTTTTACTTTAATGGTACAACTGTTCTCACGTGAACATATTTGCAGAAAATTTGCTTGATAGGCGCAGACTCTGCGGAACAAAACCTGAGATTAATTAATTGCATTGCTACTCGAGAGCCACGCCGCCGCGATCAGCCTGTCTGTGTCACTAAATGGGTTTTAGTGGCATGTTTAGACGGACAAGAAGGTCGAACAGATCCATGAACAATCCAAATTCAATTAAGGCAAAGATATGGGGCCCTGAAAATGTTACTTCGATACACGATAAATAGGTACATACATACCTACGTACATACACACATTTCACTGTTCGCTTACAACCAAAATTATCAAATAATGGGGTCTAATAAGAAATGTCAAAAGAATAGTGTAATAAAATGCCATCAAGTGTATCTTATGTAGGTTTATTTTTCAGTTTCCTTAAAATAGCATTGATTTAAGGTATTTTTACAAGTTACAACTGAGTCAGTAAAATTAACAACGCGCATCGCTTTTCACTTTAAACTAAAAAGTGACCAACGAACTTTGCCGTCAGTTGTGAAAGAACGAGCTGAGTAGAAATCTGACACCGGTTGATCGTCGCCGCGATACGTTCCTAGCGCTGTCGATGCAACGGCTTGCCCGCTGCGGGAGGCGCGGACACGAAAGGTCTTGATGCAAATTGCCTCGAAAACACTATTTACAATTCTCCATAGCACTTCAAAATTTGGATATTTGGTGTTCTACCAGCTGACGACATTTCATGAGAATCGGTGTATGTTGAATATTGAGTGTAAGCGGCCGACTGCTTTCCCGACATGTGTGGTAGGTTATGTACGTGTGTGTATGTGTGTGAAAGGGGGCGATATAACAAGGAAGAGGACGGGAATATTGTACGTGGTCCGCATCCCATTTGCTGGGGTACCGTTCCAGCATTCACCTGGTACTGAGTAAAGAAACCATGGAAAACAACCGATCAGAGTAGCCGACCGCTGGAATTGTCCTCCAGAGAGCGGCTGAATTCGACTTAGCAGTCTAGATGGAGTCTAATATGCTTCAACTGTTTTGACTCTAATACCAGGACCTCCCGGTCAGAGGCCTTTTAGTATCATGACCAGTTAATGCTCTGCCCCACTGTAGACGGTCTCCGGTTAGGAGGAAAAGTGAAAATATTGCAAAGTTCACGAGTTTTTAATTATTTTGCACTAAAATATTTCGAGACTTTCAAGCTTTTTGAGCAATACCTGCATGGTTTAGCTGATAACGCAAATGATAAGCGCGCCATCTCACCCTCGGGGTCGAGGCCTTCTCCTCCGAGGCCCTCACCAACTCCGTGGCGTCGACCTGGCGCAGGCACTCCACCACCTCGTCGTCGTCGTCCCCAGTGCAGCCAACCGCACTCGCCAACCGCCGCGACGTCTCGTACGGCGCCCACGCCAGCGCCCACGGGTTCATCATAGCGCCGCTCTCCGAAATGGCGCCGTGGAACAGGCCTACGGCAACGACCAACGAATGCTGCTTCTGACTGCGGGAAAACTCGGGGTTAGGTTTTGTGGCAGGAGGATCGTTTTGTATCAGCTAAATAGAACTAAGAAACCCTTAGATGTACACGCACGCGCGCGCGCGCGCACACACGCACACACACACATACACACACACATACACATATATCATATGTATATTGAAACGAAGAACGTTTCTGTAATTAGAACAATTACAACGATCACCAATTATAAATTAAAATAAAGTACTGGAGTTGATCAGCGCAGTAACGCCGCCGCCGCCGCCCCCACCAATTGTCAAATCGGGGTGGGATACGGCGAGGCGAGCGGCGACGGTGAGTAGTGCGCAGAGAGGCCTCGAGTGAAGCACGGATGGGGCAGTGCTTCGTCCAAGAGATTTATTGTCATTGTTAAGTGCAATTCGGACTGAGCGTGGCCGTTGAGTGTGGAACCAGGTTTGATAAGGATTAACAACCAGATAATTAGTGGAAGTAGAATTGCGCACCAGAACTGATAAAAAAATAATAAGACAGGAAATCGTGTGGTCAATGGACTCGTGTCATATTCCCGCCCTGGTATAATGTAACAGTGGGCAATACTATACGGATATTCGCGCGAAGTTAAGAAAGGTTGCTGAAAGAACTAGAACAGCCGACGGACATCAATCACGCGTCGTGCGTTCCAGTACTCGTGAGACGTTATTCACGCCGGCGGGGGTGGACCCCGGCGAATTCATCGGCCGTTACGTTGGGCCCGAGGAGTTGATCGCCAAGGGAGGGCGAATTCCCGGCGGACTTCGGGGCGAACCGAACCTTGCCGAAGACACCGCCGCCGTCGCCACGACAGCCCCGCTCGCCTCCAGAAGAAGCAGGTGGTTTTTAAAACATCAAGGTAGCGTTGACCACTTCTTACCAAGGCCTGCGCATTGCGATTTGTAAATACTATTTGTACAGTGTGTTCTCTGATCATTAAAATATTTAGATGTGCAAAGGAATTTATAACGATTATCTTCCTATGCTACCCCAAATTCCTGGAGACCCATTCACGAAAATGTACCTGTCACTTGCATAATTTATTTGTCGTGAAAGTACCGCTTCCAGGTACGTCACAATATATATATATATATATATATATATATATATATATATATATATATATATGGCATTGAATAAATCATGAAAAGAGTAATAAAATGATGTATTATAAGCACAATATTTCATACAGTAGCCCTTGCAACTCTCACCTTCCAGGAAGGCGGCGTCAATATTGTTGCGTGGAGAGGGGAGAATTAGAGGGATTTCAGTGACGGATAAGAGGCATTACTACAGCAATCCACGGTCTTGTCACTGAGGCCACACTAAGAAACGCCTACTTTAATGATCAGAATGAAAGGTTTTTTCCATTGATTCATGTGGATTTAACTAAACTAGTCTTCTACTAAACTTCCAAAAATCGATCACTTGAAGAAATGATATTAAAATTGGTAGCGTACGGAAGATAAACATCATTTTCAAACTTGACAAGAATCCAACCACCTTCGTTCGTAAATTTCATTTTTAATTAAGGTCATCTGAAGTGATTTTGATCAAATTTCGTACGTCATTTTTCTTGAGTTTTTGGCATTTTCAAAGCATTTTAAAAGCGTTTGATTGATCATTTTTTGCAACAATATTTGGATATAAAATCCACCCTCTAGTCATGAGTATTTCAATTTTTTTATTACATTGTTCTTTACGTACATTTTTAAATAGGAAAATTATTAACAGTAAATAATAAGAGAAAATGTCTACCTATCTACAATTTAATGAATTGATCGGGATATTACAATGAAAAACCTTAAGCATTCATTCCCTTTCCATGTCCGTTTCTGACTCCACAATGATTTCTTGTACTCGTCAGTTTGAAAATGATCTTTGAATGTAACATTGCGCCATACAAAGTCATGAAGCGTTCCACCATCGGGGAAGGAAAGTATTTTTAGTATTTGAAGATACCAAACATGTTTCAAATATTCACAAAACTTTTGCAGTTTGTTTCATGAACTTTATTTTCCATCCTTCTACATTTTTAGATTGTTTTTCTTTGATTGAAGGATTGAAATAAATATTTCTCATAAATATGTATTGTAATAAATTTGTTTACTTCATCTCCATTTAAAAGGGGGTTTTATATAATGAGATATTATTGGTATCTTGAAACAAAGCACAATAAGAATAAATAATTAGGACTACAAGAATAAAGCATAATTTGAGCAGACAAATTCAATGTTGTAAGTAAATTATAATAACTTAGAGATATAAACAATCTTATTTCAATTCATACTTCTTAATACAAATTCGAATTTTCTATCTTTAAAATATGAAGATTATCAACGTTGGAAAGCAGAGTTCACGAAACCACCTGCAACAGCTTTGCGAATTTTTGGATTATGTTTCGTGTCTTCAATTACCTTATCTTCCCTTCTCTCATGGTGGAGCGCTGCGTTATGTGGCGGACAGTTACATTGAAAATATCCGTTTAACACTAGTCTCAAAAAAATGAAAATTGCTCATAAAACTCTTATCTAACATATGATAATATGTATAACATTGAATTTGCCTTTTTTCGCTCGTCGTGATAAATATAAGTATAGTTCCATTAAAAAAAGTTACTTCAATATCTCGTAAAATACAAGTGATAATACAGAAATAAATACACGTATCAATTAGCCCCATTCCTTCATATACTTCCGTGTAACGTGCATTGCAAATATTTCGACCGTTCAAAAGCAACTTTTGATCTTACCGAACTTATAATGTTTGTTAGACAGGGGTGGAGAGCTGTGGAGGATATCAGATTTACAGTTGTTGAAGCTATCAAACAAAATGGTTTAGATGACTTAGCCTCCTCGTTTGAGTATTTAGAAAGTAGATATATGGATTTTAAAAGCTAATGTATTTCTAAGTTAGCCAATTTTTCCAATTCCTTTACAATAACCTTCACAGACCTTTGGACATGGGCGACATCAAATGCCAGTGTGCAGAAGTTCCGCCTGCACTTTCACCAAAGAATGTGACTTTGTTGGGGTCACCGTTGAAGGCGGCGATGTTCTTCTTCACCCAACGCAAAGCTCTCACCTGGTCCTTCAACCCAGCATTTCCAGGGGCAGCCTTCTTCAGGAACAGAAATCCTGTAAAAAGAGGTTACAATTGATTTTCAACTTCAGAAAAATTGGGAATGGTCTGCATTTTTGCATTGAGCATTTGTGCAAATGCAAACGGGCTATATAAATTTTTGTGCACACTACCAAAAATCCGTAAAAATGTAGCTGCACTAAAGTTTAGCATGAAAACCTGCAAGTATTTGTGACGGCGATTATACATTTTAAAATGCAATAAGACCCGTTCATATACCGTTCAGTTCAGTTTCAGTACGAATATGAAGGTAACACACAAGTCCCTTGGGTTTTCGGAAGGTTTGCGCGGGAGTATAACGTTATAAGCAACTGCAATTCTTTGGTAAGTCCAATGCTAGATATTGAAAGACCATATTTGAACAAAGCTGGGCTTGAAATATATTTTCAACGCATTAAACTATTTTTAAACAGTTTACACTGTCGTCGACGCCATTTTTACCAGTTATTAAATATTATGTAATATTACAATTTATTGTTCATCAAACGACTAGAAATGATTATTAGATGGTAGTATGTGACTATAACGCAAGAGTCGAAATAATCCTAACCCAAGCATTATTGGTATAGAAATGCAACATTTTAATTTAAAATGGTCACGTATTAAAAGATTTTGCTGGATTCAACGAATTAAGAATAACAAATATATTTTAAGTAAATTAAGAAGGTATACTGTTTTTAAGCTCGAAAACGAATATGGCTTTACCAGCGAACCTAAATAGCGCGCATCTCTGTTTATGCAGAAAAGGCATGTGACTAGGCTGTTGTGGATAAAGAAGCTAGGGGAAACATAGTCCCCCACGCCAACAATGCTTTGTAATTTTACTAAATTTATTGAAAATAAATAGAATATATCGGTATCATCACAGTAAAAACAATACTCTATTATTAGTATACTCGACCACTTTCTTTTATTTCAAACTAACAATTAAAAAAAAATTCAATGATGTCAATGGGAATGTCCGAACTGAAATTGCTCTTCCCCAAAATTAATTTCTGGACTGCCTGTGTTGCTATTTGCCCTGTCGACCCATGAGCCCGTTCCACATCCCGGCAGACAGCTAACACCTTGCTTCCCCACCCCTCGTCCCAAGCACCAAACACCCCATCCCCGCCCCGCCCCCTCGCTCCACAAGTGCATAGGCCCATCCCCGTTGCGATAGTTGGGAGACCGCTGCGCCCCTCAGAGCGCTGGAGAGGAGCTCCAAGAGTAGGCTGGGCGGATCGAAATTCAGTTTTTCAGAATACGTTATGAGTATTTACAGCTAAAATGTTTGATTGAAATAGTTCCTGAACGCTTGTGGAACACGATCTACAATATAACACCATTTCTTGGTTGCTGAGTTCAGCAGATTGTTTTCAAAAAATGTAGTACACAAAAATAGTGCTTCCTGTTAATACGCAAGTAGTTTATTAACCTTTGGGAAGAAGAGGAATTCTCTCTATTTGCATTATGATCTCACAAATGGATAACAAATGGCAGAAATGCTTATACCTTTTGGAATGTTGCAACTTGTTACGTGTTTCACATCGCATTTTCTTGCGGTAAGGAGTGTCTAGATGCGCAGCAAATGCCGGAGTCTTAAGAGAGGTCGGAAGTATAGGAATTTGGAGAGAATTGTTTAAATGAAATCTATTAACCTCTTGGATTAAATTAGCAGATGATCAGGCTGACAACTCATACATAGCGTGCTTTAGAGTTCGCATGGCAGGGACGACACATCGCTATGCGGCGTAAAATTAACGGCTACTTGACAGCGCGAAGGTTGGGACGTCTCTCCGAAATGGACTGGGAGATAGAGGAACCCGTCTGAAATAGAAACGGCTGATTTCCAATAGACTTGCGGATATTAAAGGCAAGAGATCATGGGCCAGCAACGGCTACGAAAAACGTTGCTGGTAGCTCAAATCCACGCGAGGCGTCTTATGGTGCGAAATTACATACGATACTCTACCGAAAAGGACGCAAGAGGGCGCTACGCTGGTTTTCAGGTGGGGTGATGCAACGTAGCACTAAAGACGCAAGTGCTAATGGCATCTTGTTTGCTTTGCGGTGATAGGAGATGATTCCACATCCTATTAATTTGCTGTGCAACGAATCATGAGAAAAAATGATGGAATGGGAAATTACTACTTTCTCTAAAACAGGAACGTAACGCATCTGCCGAAACGATTTAGGTGATAAAAGGCTAAATTCATGAAAGAATTAAGACATTATTTTACGGAAAGGTCGGACCATTAGGGAAATGGAAATAGGAGTGGGAAAGCAGCACCGTTAGTGCGCGAGAAAGCCTAGAACTGGACCAGACAATAAATAAGTCAATAACGGCAAACAATTTAGTTCAATCAGTAATTTATTGTTGCGTTGATAGGTAATCGTTATCGAAATAAGTCCATAGCTTAATTGGTAAGGTCTTAAAGGTTATTAATATAAATAAATAAAATAAAACTGGCATGAGTTAAATAAGACACATTAGGGGGGAAGGTAAGGAGGGATCGAAATAGTAAGGGAGAGAGGCCGTGGTGCGGACGATTCTTACCTTGGCGCTCTGTTTGATTTCAAAGGTGCTGAGGGAAGCCAAGTACTGGGGAGGACGGCGGGACGCCCGGCCAGAAAATAAAACAAGCTCGAAAATCTAAAACGGTACGGATAGATTAGAAGTGTCTCGGCTTCTGAACGGCAGGTCTTTTCCCCCTATCAGAGGGTTTTTCCGGAGCAAGTAAACCCTTATGGTCCTTTTTCCGCGGCTTATATGCGATGGAGAGACCATTCTGGGTTCAGTGCAATACCAGAATTCGAAAGATTAGAAGGCGATTAAGATGTAGGAGATTATGAATGCCTTAAAAGGCTTCGGGACCTACCACATAGGATCAATAAGCTAATTATGTTTGTAATAATTACCTATTAAATAAATAAAAATAAAATTTTCTTGCGGTACGTCAAATTGTCAGGTATGATCACTGGTACTGCGTCTCAGTTAGTCTCTTCACAAAACACCAAATTGAATTACTTTATTTAATACCAACAACACGGCGCCTACATATCAATGCTTCATTCTCTCTCAAGTCCTTTTCTTCTGTACCTAACCTCAATCACTCTAAATACGAGGACCTACTGTACCTAACAAGCTCTCTAAATAAATGATGCATGCTTTTTAACATAAGTTCTTGCGAACTACGGCTAGCTGGTTGGCTACTGATGATGAAGTGAATGCTCTGAAAATGTCCGAATAATTAATTTGTTTGTGGAAGTATAATTCACTTTATTATCTTATGATCGAATACCTCTTTCAAGAATACTACCTGGAGCCACCGTAAGTGCAGTGAACTGTTCTGGCCATGTATCGCCCATACACATATACTGTTCACTGTAAATACTGTGAACAGAGCGTACCTCTAGCTTGACGAGTGACGAGACCTGACAGTTTTCCGTGCTCATTGACTTTTTCAAGCAACACGCATTGCTTCCAATTAACCAAACTACTGCCCAGAATATGAAGGTTTGGCTTGATTTGTTTGAAAGTTTGGCAACAAGGTTTCAACAAATTTAGTTACATATTATTAATCATCGACCTCTGGAACCCTTGCATAAGAAGTTTTAAGCAAATCATGCCAAACCTTCGTATTTTGGACAGGCTTTCGGCTGTTAGGACCAATGTGCATCGCTTATGAAAGACACTATGCAGGTATTGTTACGGAATCATTTCCAAGTTTCTCGAAAGTAGTACATATAGCGAAATTTTTCCAGGAAAATTGGTACGTGGTGGAACATTTTTTATTTCATTTTCGCAATTAGCGTATGTGATTTAGTAAAGAATACATACTTTCTTCTCGCGACAAGACACAAGTTCAGATTTGTTGTACTGCGTTATTTAAAGCACAGCACTCGTAACCGTGCCTCACATTAGAAATTACTGTTAATAGAATTATTTACTACCCATCCAAATTTCAAGAACTAGGATAAAAGCAACAGTAGTGCTCGTAGTTACGAATACTTTTGTAGCTTTTTTAAATTTTTGGTCTACTGTACTATTGTGTGGAACTGAACGGGCCTACCTTAGCCTACCTTCTCCCCAACAGATGCATCGGCTAAAAATGGGTTGTTTTCTTTTTTTCTATTTTGGCCACTCGTAAATTGCAAACTTTTGGTATATGTCAAAGATATACCACTCTATAATAGTCACTCAATTGTATCTCCTGAACATGTTTGAAACACTTGAGTACAAAAATGTTACATTAATGCAATGCCAATGTTAATACGTTTTGAACTTATTCTTTAAATATAAAAGAAAGAAAATAAATAATCGTTGTTCCACATCTCGACACCACAAGATAAAAACTCCACTGCGAGTGTGAAGCGGTTTTAATTCTTATTTTTTAAACTTATTGAAACAGTGATCACTTTTGGTGTTATATTTGGCGATTCCAAGACATTCAGTTCCTGTATCTTACAAGATCTCATTAGCATTAAAAGTAGCGTTGACAACTCAAGTAGAATTGTTCTGGAAGTTATCAAACTGCATCAAATCAAAATACTCACCGAAGCAGGTCAACCTGTAGTTTATGGTGACGAGCACGACCCCCTCCTCCATGAGATAGTCTGGCCCATAAACGTCGGCGTTGCCCGCGCCGAAGACGAAGCCTCCCCCGTGGACCCAGAACATGACAGGGAGAGGCTTGGCCCCCGTCTGGGGCAGCGTGGGCGTGTACACGTTGAGGAAGAGGCAGTCCTCGCAGCCTCTGTACTGGAAGTCGTTCCTGTCCAGTTGGGTGCACATGCAGCCCTCTACGGTGGCGTCGCGCACGCCGTCCCATGCATCGGGATCTTGCGCGTCCTGCAGGAGACACGTGTGGGGTCACGTGCGTTTTACGCCAACATTATCAAAGTGAAACTTCTTACTTAAATAGGCTTCAATGAGAAATCATTTATTACTTTTATTTTGTCACACATACGAATACCACCGTATAACAAAATTACATCACACGAAGATGAATCAAAGCTAAAAAAAATAGTTTACTATAAAATGCACTACAAATCACAGAATCACAAATATTATACATTTTTTAAATTACAAAAATAACATACGATAATTGGAACACCATGTTGATATAAATCTTTTTAAAATATCCACAACATTTTAGGAATATTATGGACAAATTAATATTAAATTTATTTATTTTTATTATTATAACATTTCGTAAGTAGGATTGTGCTACAATGAAAGATGATCATTTTCATTATGCACAGCACACTCACACAATACTAGATTAACTATATTAAATCTCTCTAAACTAGTATTTAATTATGGATAGTTTCATCTCTTGTATATAAAAATCAATCGTTAGTCTCGCTAAACCTCAAGAACAGTGATACCGATTTGGCTAATTTTGATTTTACAATATTTGTGCATGTCTAGGAAAGTTTAAAAAGTGAGAAAATATGCAAAACTTTCGAGGAAAATAGTAATGACAGCAATTTGAATTTTCCATAAAAACTGCCAATCTGTCAATCATTTGATGTCTTTTCTGTCTTTCAGAAGTTCATTTTCACTGCATTATATTACTTTCCTAAACCCGTGCACGTATTCGAATGCTTTACGATAAGCATTCTGCCATTTTTACTCATATAAAAGACTATACACAAGTTTTGAAAAATAAAATGCTACGACATGGCTCTCTCACACGTTCAGAAATCTGTCTTTAATAAACACACTAAACGTAAAAATGTATTAATTAAATAATTTAACTATTACGATTAACTATTAACGAACATCAAATGTTTGGACTTCCACAATTATTTTAAAACTTAATTTAGCCAAATCGGTTCAGCCGTTTTCGAGTTTTACCGAGACGAACGAACAGTAATGGATTTTTGTAAATATAGATAGATGTTAGGTAACACGAAGTGCGCCGGATAACCTCGTCTTTTAATCATTATTCTTTCCTCGATAATTTGAAATTATGAAACCACAGTTTTAGAGATGTTCTATAATAATGTGCGAAATATTATATGCCTTTCGAGCGACCAAGATTTTGAAATTATGTTAATTTCTTTAAAGTGCCAATATTCTTGTTTAGTGCGATAGCATTAGATATCGTGAAATCAAGGGGGCAAGTACCACTATACCAGAGCTTTGGGTGAGGCTAGATCAACAGGGGTTTATTCGATTTCGAAACAAGTGGTGTTACAGAATGGCTGAGACTTTCCCGTATTAGTTTTCTATTTCCTTTGGTCTTGGATAGCTACTGGGACTTGCCATATACTCTGGCCAGCTGCCATCTATCTCCGCTTAAAGTACATTATTTTGAATTTTTAATTATTTAGTTTTTTAACAATAGAATAGAAATTATTTTATGGATATTAAGGAACAGTAAAACCCCCTCCAAAATTGCAATTTTCTTTAAAACATTTGCAGCCGTTTTTAAGAAATGGGTGTTAAAGCGCTACTGTAAATTTGAAATATGAAACTCTTTTTCACAAAAAACTTTGGAGTTTTCGAAAAATTTCTAGTGGAAAATTTCCAATTTTCTAGTTGTAGGACGACGCCAAATTTCAAAAGTTTCGAATATGAAGAGTAAATTGTAAAAATCGGAACTATGCCACTTTTATAATTGTATTACCCCTTCTTCCAAGAAATTTAAAGATCAACTTTGTAGCCGTTTTTGTGAAAAGTTTGAGAATGTCCGAAGGGCTTCATGTGAAGTACACCCAAATCTTAACTAATGGTTTTCAAAATCTCAAAGTTCGACTCGAGCCAAATGGAAAGGGGTTTCTTCAATTTGAAAAAAAAAATCCTACGAATGGTTTAACTAGTAGTAGAGTTCACAGATGAACAGACGGACGTTTTGCCGTCAATTGAGATTTCGGTGTCAAGGTCCCGTTAGAGGATTCTTTTTTATTTTTACATCTGGGTTTATCCCATTTATTCTTTTTGTGACAAAGTACTGTAATTGTGCGCTGGGAAACGGCATATTTTTGACACAAAACTCTTATTGCCGGGCCCTGGTAAAGAAAAAGGCGATAATTCCAGTTGCTAAATATAGAAAAATAGCCTCACGAGGTGGAGCCAGAAACAATATTTTATGGTTTCTTGATACCGAAAAATTAATTGACGGCCATCCGTCTAATTTAATCAACACAGTCCGGCTCGAGCTGCCGAGGCGAACACTTCGTGATGAAGCTGCTCTTATCTTCAGACGTGCCTGCCGCTCAAAGGGTAGTTCGGGCCTATCGCAGAGTTCGAAGATAAGACATGGGGCTGCCGGTGCTGCCGGTGCTGCCGGTGCCGGGGCGAAGGTGCAAAAGTGTGCCTGTAAACTTTTGTTCAGTTTTGTAGCGAGAGTGAAATAGAATTACTAGTGAAGTGAACCACATGTTAAACGGCGATGTCCCCCTAGGGGGGACATATTTCTAGGTCAGTGCTAATATTAAACAATGAAAGTGCAGAAGAAATGTATATAGACCCAAACAGTGCTCCCACAACTATGGAGGGCGAGTTTGCAAAAATTCAACAACAATACGAGCAACTACTAAAACAACATGAAGTATCGCAAAATCAGGAGCTTCAGGAGTAAATACAGCAAAACCAAATGCTACTTTACCAAATCCAACAACGCGAGCTTCAAGACCAAGGTAAGAGAATAAGCGAGCCAGTTGTTCAAATCCCTGCGCAAAACAGTGAAGATACTTTCCCCCGGACAACGAAAACAAAAAACGAAAGGTTTCGTATAACAAAAACACAAAGACAAGTGAGACCAACAGCAACTCAATGGAATATAATGTACCTACTCACTCAAGGTTCACTCCGCTCGGAAGAAGAAGATGAAGTAATAAACCAAAGAGAATAATATTAAAATTCCTCCCATTCGTTCATATGGCTAGCAACGAGTATTCAACACTAATACAGCACTTAAATTCAGCGACAATAAACGACATTCTAACTAAACCAAATGGCGAGTACACTAAAGTAAACTTCAATGAAATCAATGACTTTAGAAAATTTAGAAAATACTGTGAAGAAAACAACATCGAATTTCACACGTATCGTGAACCAAGTAGTAAAGTGTTATCTGTAGTAATAAAAGATATCCCGACATGTTACACCGAACAAGATATTATACAAGAATTGAAAAGATTAGAATATTCTGTAACTAAACTGTGCAGAATTTATGATAAAGCCAGAAAACCTATGCAAATAGTAGCGGTAGACCTTGTTGACAATTTTAAATCCAATAATGTATTATACGAGGTCAAACATGTACTATAGTGTAATACTAGTACAACTAAGAAATGACATAATTATCCTATTCAATGTAAGCGCTTTCAGCGATTTGGTCATACCTAGGCAAACTGCCGCAATATTCCTAGGTGCGTGAAGTGTCTCGAAAGCCATCACTATTCTCAAAGTATTAAACATCAAAATATCGCCCCTAAATGTGTTAATTGCAAAAGCGATCATACCGCCAAATACACAAGGTTCCCAGAATTTAAGAAACTTTCCAAACCCTATCAAGGACAATCCCGAGGATCTTTAATAGGCATTCAAAATAATTGATTCATTAATGTTTCCACAGACCACCATAGACCACCACTATCTTCCCCTTCTCCTCCAGTAACATCTACATTTATTAGACAACCTCCTCCCCCACCTCCTCCCGTTCACTCAACTGACTTTCTACCACTGCGCCTCCATTATAACTCCGTATGGAACAATATTCAACCTAATAACATTCCTGATGTAAATAGTTAAGTTTCAAATGTAGTATCCCAAACAATCTCTCAATTAATACTCCAAATCCAAAATTTGATTTTAAATGTTCTTCCTAATTACTATAATGGATCCTTCTTAACTAACTTAACTTCAATGCAAATGGAATAAAGAGACAAGAAAATTCCTTCCGGCATTTCTTAAACGAGCATAAAATAATAATAGCATGTTTAACAGAAACTCACCTCATACCAGTCGAAAGTTTTTCAATACCCAATTTTTTAAAATTTACCGTAATGATCGGATTTCAACAAATGCTTCAGGCAGAGTAGCCATCATAGTTCGAAATGATATTAAGCATTGTCAAGCTCCTGTTCCACACTCAGTACACTTAGAAGCAATAGGAATTAACATTAGTTACAATAAATCGAAAGTAGTTTTCATTACAGCATATAAACCATCTAACAAAACCTTACCAACAGAATACTGCAAATTTTTTATCAATATCCCCGATTTATATTGATGGATGGCTTAGATAGCAAACACAGAGCCTGGGGCTACAATGTGACTACACATCAAGGTGCCAAACTGCTTAATCTCATTAATGCAAGCGGTCATAAAATTCGTATTCATGCCCCTATTGAACCAACCCTTTACCCAACAGATCCAAACAAGAGAGCAGACATTCTAGATATAATCATTTCAAAAGATATAACCCAACAGATCTATCAGAAAGTAGTTCCGGATTTAGATTCTGACCATTCTCCCATTCTCATATCTTTGGGTACCCCGACCACTCTTTAGAGAAAATACCGAAAGAAATTAATGGTAAAATTAACTGGAGTTATTTTTCATGACTTAATAACTAGCAGTTTAACGTACCCATGTAACATGATCTCAACTGAACACATAGGTATTGAATTAAACAAACTCACTAACTGTATACATCAGTCATTATAATACTCGCCTTTCTATCAGATAAACAGAAAGTCAAACACGACACTGACTAAAGAACTTCTTGACCTAATTAAAAAGAAAATAAATTTATTTGGCAATCCAACAAAAATACAAACAATAAATGAAAGACAAGAAATTTAAAGAAAAAAGTGAAGCCGTTGATAAAAACTGGAGAGTCTCTAAAGGCATTAAGGGCATTGTTGCAGTAATCCTATGTCAGTATTGAAAATGTACATCCTTCTGTGTATGGGAGCGTTTTGTTTACAAATTCCTTTCAAAGAAATAAAAAAGAGTTTATTGTACTATAATATAATAAAAAGAGCCTTAAGATTTGAAACACGGCACATCAGGTATTTTTTTAATTAGACGTAAGAAACCATTTCTTTGAGCTTGTTTAGAATCGCTTGATGAAAAGAAGACATATGTTTTTCATGTTAAAATTACGTCAATATTGAAGTTCTGTGTTAAATAAATTTGTGAAATTCATTTTTGAATTTTCCTGCTACACTTGTAAAGGAAATAAATGTTCACTTTTTGTTCTCTGATTTCTGAGTGTTTTTGTAAGAATGGTACAGAGGTTAAAGACCTAATTATCTCTCCTTGAGGCACCCACATTACCTTTACGGAGTGTTATTCACACGAACACAAAAAATATTTCTTGATTCTCTGCTTTGATCCCTCTTGTTCCTTCCCGTTATCAAATAATTAAACAAAAGAGAAAGAGAGGAAGTAAGGACGAGTTCGCGACCTTAGTCATTCGTGTCTGTTGGTTCATATTTTATAAGACATTTTTGAAAATTAGAGCAAGTTTTACTGCATTTTTTAAATAAATATACTACGTTTGTATTAGGCTACTTTCTGTGGACCTCAGATCATTAGATTTAAACAAATTAGACCTTCCGTCATTAGCCCTAATATCCACACTCCTAATTCTCTCTAACCAACCCGTGACCTCCCAATCAACAGAGCTCTCGGACAATAAGACGTTACCTAAAAAGATGAATGTTAACATTTCAACAATAGGCATTATCTCCTGGTAAAATGAAGATTAGGAGGTTGACTCACCTTGAAGCGGAGCTCTCCCACAGGCGGCTTGGCGTAGGGGATACCCTGGAAGCTGTAGTACCTCTCCCCCAGCACAGAGGTCGCTTCTCTCCCTCGCAGCTGCCCTTGCTCCACCTTCACTATGGGCTCATCCTGGGCCCCCACACTCACCCACCCGTACACCTGTTCACCACAAATCAACTAAAATTACATTGTGTGTTACTCTGAGACGCGGAGCGAAAAAGCAGCAAGCATGAATGACATTTATGCTTGACAAGTTATGTGAGTAATATTTCTGTCTACTTGACAGTTAGTGGTTGACGGGGGAGAGGGGGTTTCCAAATTCAACCAGATTCTTCATTTCTGATGATATTACGGCAGAGGGACCGCTTCTTAAGAAATAAAATTAAATCTTACAATGCGAATCCACTTAAAATTGAAGAGCGCCATTTTCACCTTTACTTCATTTGTTATGCATCGTGTGTGCGTATCAGTCAACTGTTGTGTGGGCTCATTACGATTTGTGATTGCTAATACTGCTGATGCAAGAACGTCACGCGACCACGTGTCTGCCGCCAGAGTAAATAGCAACATCGCTCTGCCACATCTCCAGCTGTCAAGTATTTCGAATTATTATTCGAACAATACGCTTCAGATTTCGACAGACATAACCATTTGATATCCTAAGTCTATCAATGGTATTGAAGTGTGAAGTCTAACACTTTTGCTTCATTGTATTATCACTTACAATGTGAATGAGCAATTTCTAAAAATTATCTGCCCTGCCTCGTCCAAACTGGGTTCTCTTATTTGACTCTTTCGGTTTAATGCAAGTTTCCGATGCTGTCGCTGAGTGATTACGCCTGCTTATATTTTTTCTGTGTAACCTGACGCCTTATCCAAACGTTATCATGTTTGCTAACATGATAATGCAATGTCACTATAACACGCAGTTCATCATTGTCCAAATTCACAGCCTTTACAATCATGTCCGGAGGACAATGTGGGTTTAGTGTGTAGCTATACCCACACGAAAAAAATTGATAAATCTCCATCTCAACGTCCGTCCGTCCGTCCGTCCGTCCGTTCGACCAACCATCTATCTGTTGTCCGTACGTCTGTCTGCGTACTTACGTATAGGAGGCAATAACAATATTTCATATACGTACATATATAGAGAGAATTAGATACATAATATAAAGTTATGAAGTCCAGCGGAAAATCGATTTCGAGATCTCAACAGAAATACAGTTTCTATCCGTATGTCTTTCTGTCTGTCTGTCCGACTGCCTAACCATTTGTCCTTCCGTCTGTCTGTCCGTTTGTCTGTATTTCCGTCTGTCCATCTTTCGGTCTGTCTGTCTGTCCGTCCGTCTGCCTGCCCGTCTGTCCGTATCTCCGCCTGTGTGGTCTTCTGTCTGTCCGTCTGCCAGTCCGTCTGTCTGTCCGTCCGTCTGTCCGTCTGTCCGTCTGTCCGTCTGTCCGTCTGTCCGTCTGTCCGTCTGTCCGTCTGTCCGTCCGTCCGTCTTTCCGTCTGTCCGTCTGTCCGTCTGTCCGTCTGTCTGTCCGTCTGTCTGCACCAATGGTGCAAGTCTCAGTTTAGATGAAATCCCTGATTTTTCGAAAATTGCGAAATATTAATTTGTTTCGGTCACGATGAGAGACAGAATAAGGAATGAAGATCTCTGCAAGAGAACGAAATTATAAAGATGTATGCAGAGAGGCAAATAAGATCAACTGGAGGTGGGCAAGTCACAATGCGTGTAATGGTCAACAGTGGTACGGTACATAATGGTCAGGAGTGAGGTCAACAGTGAATAGCGAACAAAATGGACAGCGAACAATAAGTGGACAGAGGACAGCGATAGTGGTGCAGTCAGTGAACAAGTGGAATAATAATAAGGTCATTACCAACAATATGGACAGTGAACAACAATATATACAGTAGGTAACTGTGAACAGTAATCAATAATATGCACAGTGGACCTTAAGCTTTATTAAAATGCTCTCCAGGGTCAGCTCACTGAAAGTGAATCTAATTTTGAGCCACCCTACTTCGTGGGAGGTGGTAGCTCAACATTGGTATCAATGAATTTATTATTTTAATCGTGCACTGTTCATTGGTGCTGATACAGAAGTCATACATATATCCTGTATCATAGCATGACTTCCAAATTCTTAATACTTATTATTAATTAAATTGTAAATCAATGTCTTGAATTAGTAGGTGCCATAGACACAACAAGCAGATGCATATTTGTATGTACAATTCAGAAACATTAACATTGATTATTGTAAAACCTAAAAACATCCGTTAATTTCCAAAAACTTCTTGACCAATTAGCACGTACTGATTAAAACAGAATTGTGGATACTGATGGCGACATTCTTCTTAATTCCAAGTGTTTCTAGAGAGTACTTCAAGGTTGTCGGAATGATGCCCGTTGCTGAAAGAACGATTGAGACAGTCTATGTGTCTAGGATATACGATTGTTCTTCCACGACATGTGGCAGTTCTTGGTAGTTCTGGATCTTCTCGTGATACGTAAGATTGCTAGTATCGGCAACCGTCATATCCACACATCATACTTTTTCTTGGTTTTATCCCAAAGTGTTATGTCGGGTCTGTTGTGGTGCACTGTTTGATCTGTCAGTACACTTCGGTCCCAATAGAGTTTATAGCTGTTACTTTGCAAGCAATTTTTTGGGATATACTAGTACTATGGCGTATCATGGAATGGTGCTACACCACAGGTCTTGGCAAGTTGGGTATGGATAATTCGTCCCACCATGTCGTACTAAGTGGGGGCTAGTACCAGCCTGAGGTAATGGGCTTAGTTTCGCTACATTGACCCCACGCCCGGCATTCGTCAGAGAGCACACCTGGAACTTTGAATATGTATTTCAGATAACTCTTGGTTGAAATTACTTGACCTTTGATTGCAACCTGACCCCTTCAGTTTCGGGTAATAGATATCTAATACCGAGCCATTTGTACGTCATATCAGCGTCGACATTGGAATTCCATCTGGATATTCACCGTGGTGGACACTTTTGCTTCCACAACTCTATCTCTCGGCCTAAGGATGGATTCTGGAGTTCAGTTACATATTGGTTGAGCCGTAACGGGGTGTAGATATCATCTGCTTCCTGTATGTTTTGTATGGATATTGCTGATTTTAAGGATGCCACGACCTCCCATCTTTCTTGGGAGTGAGGCAATTTGGATCGAGCTTTTTCTATTGTGGAATTGGATGCTGGTAATTTGGACTCTGATAAGCCTCTCCAGGGATTCAATATCCGTTTTCGACTAGTTTATGATCTCCAATGTAAATGTACTAATTGTTATTGCGTACATTTTAATTGTTGCTGTAAGATTTCCTGAGTTGAGAAAAGTTTTGATTGTACTTTTCAGTCTCTTAACAAATTCCATCTGTATTTTCGCTTTAATTTTAGTGGGCGCAACCAATAACGATGAATGTCTAGGTATTTGTTGAGCTCATCTGCTTCTAAGACTGTTATAGTCTCTCTAGACATGGTTTCTGGATCTATTGCGCTGATGAGTTTACCTTTACTGATTCTTTGTATTTTACATTTTTCGATACCAAATTGCATACCTGTGTCGATGGAGAGACTTTCAGTGCTGAGTGCAGTATGATCTGCTTAAGTCCCTGTAAGGTTTCTGACTACAGCTTGATATCATATATTTACGCTAGATGACTTAGATTATATTTTCCTAGGCTTTCCAGATGATATCCTACTCCCATGTGTTCAAACAAAGGGGAGAGGGTATTTATTGCAAGGACTAGTAGGGCATCTCTCTAGAAAAAATTAAGAAAATTGAAGAAAGAAATACCGGTTTGAGAACGGTGAAAATGATAAGTGGTATTTTATAGGGTGAAACGTATAGTGTTGAAAACTACTCAACTAAAGAAATTGCAGCTTTTATGTGTTGTTCCCTAAACTCTTACAAAGGTGATACAACTTTTTTCTGTATATAAGAACATTCGTGAAGATATCAGAAAATGATTCATCCCTGAAAATGTGTAAAAATATATCATAAACTTTTGCAATAGAAATTGAACTGGATTCAACACGTAAATAAAACTATTGTATTTAGAATAAAACACGCACTTTTGTCTGAGGATATTTTTTCTTTTTAAGAGCATTTTTTTCATTTTTAAAGCATATTTGCATGCATATTTTTAGGATTTCTAGTGTATATGAATCCGCACTCAAGTTATAACAAACTCAAATGTAAATGTTTACTCCTCCGTGTTTGAATTCCAGTCATATCACTTGCTGATGTTTGTTACAACATATGAACTATTTTCCCTTCACTCACCCACTCCAAAACGAAATATACTAAAGATTAATTGAATAAAATCTTACCCAACTATACACCAAACATAAAAATACTACTAAACGCACTAGAAATAGATCAGTCAATAACACATTTAAATTCTATAATCCAAACTACTCTAAAAATCTCAGAAATAATAACGAAACTTTTAAACAAAAATTACAATGAAAAACTACCGAGTGAAGTAATAAAATTAATAAACTCTAAAAATACAACAAGAATGATTTGGGTCCATCTATGAATGTCGGTCATGAAAGTTGAATAAAATTTAATAACTAATATAACTAGAAAAGTACTAAAAAACTACAAAGACCAATAGTATGACAATTTAGTCCATTTCTTAAGCACTAACTCAAATTCTTATGGCTGTCCACAAGAAATATACGTAGACTAAAGCCACTATTCCACCACTAAACATAAACGGAGGGAAAGTGTTCAAGTCAGAACAGAAATCAGAAGAACTAACCAAATTTTTCTCCGCGCCTTTTACAACACATTCAACAAAACCGCAAACCTCACGTATAACAATTACTAAATCAAATGACAAAACAATATATGGCCGCCACCCTAAGATTAAATATGCACCACCAAAAGAACTGAAATACACTATAAAATCATTACCTATAAAAAACTCCCCTGACCATTATAACATTAATAACAATATCTTTAAAAATCTCCCTGATCCAATCAGAACATACATTTCAAATATCTAAAACTAGTGTTTAGAAACAGGATATTTCCACAAACACGGAAATATGCAATTGTTGTACCGGATCTGAAGTTAAATAAAAAATGAAGCTTAGTAGAAAACTATAGACCAATCAGTTTACTTTTCACGCTTTCTAAAATTCTAGAAAAAATAATCTTAAAACGTTTAAAGACACATATTTAGGCCACCATCGCAATTCCAACAGAACACTTCGAATTTACAGTACAATGCGCCACACACTACCAATTACTTCGCCATAACCATGTCAGAGCCAATGGCTGCTTGTGCTTAGGTTGCACGATTGCACAACCTCCCAGATAATCGAAAAAGATCATATAATACGTTAGGAATATCCATTTTTCTTTTTAATGAATTCAATATTTAAGATATTACATCAATATCGATGTCTACGAAATTATTCCGAAACTAAAGAGCGTCCAACAAGCGCTCTGTCATGAGGTGCTCGCATGGCACTCAGATGGTATCACACCATGTCACGCTCTTGTCTCTTTTACGGCAATTATTTCTGGCCCCACGCTTCAACATAGTGACGCAACCAAAGGGTGGGGGCTCTTCTCGTCGAGCGCTGCGTGGCGCCCGAGGCAGCCCGGGTGAAATCCCAATATTCCGTCTTCCTCTGACTCTGGCTGCAACTTAATTTTATGAATTTCGCGTGCTATTGAAAGTACACTAGTTTATTCAATTGTTGACGGCATTGAAAGCATAATTTATGCTATTTGCAGATTTTTTCATTTGATATTAATTTTGTTCATTCAAACTCCCTTTCTTCTCTCACGGTGGGTGCATATTCGCGGCCAAAGTTGAGTTACGGATTGAACGCGTCGTTGTGAATGCGAGTTTTCTCGAAGATCTTCGTTAGCAGAATAAATAGAAAGGTAATATAATTTTCAAAGTAATATAATTTGATTTGTGTAAAAGGTCTCCAAACCTTAGTGTCTATTGCTAAGTTCTGGAGCGCTAAGTGCCTCTACAATGAGCGTATTTTCGAAACCATGTTCTTTTTTGTTTTGTATGAATTCTGTTACATTTCAATGCGTCTCAATGCATAACTGTTACAAAACGTGGATGCTCATTGTAAATCAAAGTCAGTACCTCGTGCGCGGGAGGGGAATATTACTAATGAACTAGCGTAACATTACATAAGTAATATTTCAATGAAGATTTTTATTAATATTAGATTAATAGATTTTTATTAAACTTTTAATTTATTTACATGAATTGCTTGCATTTTATTATATATTACAGCTCTGAAATGTGGAAATTACAGTCCTTACGGCATTCTCAATCAAGATTTATGCACCAGAAATTTTAAACAAATATACAGAAAAACGTGCTGTGTACAATATTATTCAATTTTCCTTGTTTTCCCACAACTTTAAAATTTTGGGCTAGCGGGCTTTTAAAATAACAGATTCAATTAGACCACTCTTACTATATGCTTGTGCAGTTTGGATAAAAGCTGCAAAATAGAACCCAAAAAATCTAAAGATCGTTCAAATACTCAAATACTTCAAATTACCAGAATATGACCCCTCCGGTTAAGCAGAAATCACACTCATGATACCCGTATTAAAAATAAATTTCCCTTCCCTTCCTTCTTTCTTAAAAGAATTTTCGAAATGTAACACTCCTGAGGTCTCCCCACAAAGTATTTTAATTATATTTGTTATATTAAAGTTATTAGCATTAAGTTTATATTAAACCAACAATACATATATAGAGTATGAACAGAACTTTGTAAAACATGAAAATATTTATAAAAAATAGAAACAACTTGTATGAACTAGCTGTTTTTATAAGATGGCATGCATGAACGTACTTTCAATTACGAATGTAACATTAATTGAACTTTGAAATGTAGCCTGTGGGAGAATATTGTCTACATATTTTGACATATTATTCATGCAACGTATTTCCTGGCATATAAACACACGATACAGATCCTTTGATCTACAGGTGCATGCGCATAACCTAGACAAAAATAGTGACTTACTGTCAAAAGGATGAGAGTCGTCAAAGCACGACACATCACTACTTTCTCGGTTCTTTCACGAACACATACTTTATATTTCTTACCGATAGGTAACTTGCAAGAGAAAAAATAATCTAAAGACCTTCATTTTTAACTGTTGGTATTCTAATCGAAGCACGTCTTGTCCACTGTGTTTGTGTGTCACAATTTCTTCACAGATAACATTTGCCCCCGTTATATAGCAACTAGATTAAGCAATAATGTTAAGTGTAGTGAACCGCCATTACAACATCGCACCATGGACAGACGATTCGCGAGGCTAAAGTCGTTCAACGATGCTTTCGGCAGTTTAACGCTTCTACTACCCTTCAGATCTCATAACTCGTACGTGCCCCCTCCCACTCCCTCACTCCCTGCCGTCCACGCTCCCCCTTCCCCCTCCTTATGGCCACGCGAGGTCTCACTTCGCCTCCCTCTTCCCCACCTGCCCCGCCTACCCCTCGCCATTCCCCTCGCTCACCCCCTTGTCCTCCCCCTCGCCCTTGCCCTCTCCACCTTGCCTTTTCCTCCTCCTCGCCCTGCCCCTCTCTCTTCTACACGCCCGCTTTCCTTTCTCCCCTTCGTTCTTGCTCTCGCCTTCCACCTCCCGCTTGTCTTCTCCCCCTCTTACCCGCTCTCTTGCCCTCTCCCTCCCTCTCCTACTCAACCTCCTTATTACCAAACCCTCGCTCTCCCCCTCGCTCTCCCTCTCCCTCACAATTTCCCTCACCCTCTCCCTTACCCTCCCTCTCTCTCTCCTTCTTTCTGACCCTCTCCCGGGACACAGTAATAAAGGTCTGCATGAAAATTACTCTTCTTCTTTCACTTGAAAGGCCCCCCCCTTCCCCTCTACCGCTGTATCGTATTCCAGCTGATGCTCCTCCCTGGAAAGAAAATCACATAATACTCAATACATTACGAACCGAAAATACGGAAGAACATTCCGTTTCTTGAGTTAATGAATGGCATTGGTTGAAAAGGGTTGGTAATCGCATTGTTATCATTAAGTGCTTTCAAACTGAAGGTATTAAAACAGCGTGTACTTTCTCACCTTTAGTAATAGTTATTTAACACTATTTATACCACAATTTCCGAATTGACACATCCAAGTCATTATTTTTTGTAAAACTCATTACAAATCCTACAACGTTTGGTGAAGAAACTAAATATTTTCAAGCAAAAATCAACACAAACATTACAATTATAGCTGTTTTACATACAGTTACATCATGTCTCTGGAGTTATTTAAAAAAAGTATTTTTCGGTATGAAGGTCCCATATTTTTAAAATATGATTACAGATCTGTAAAAGGGAGTTATTTACTACATATTAGGTGATGATTTATGTCCTGTTTCTTTATGAAGACCCACAATACGAGTTTATGAAACGTCGATTTTGGCCGCAGTATTACATAACTTTCTCTATTCTACGTATATTTCTCCATATATACGTACGTTTACCAGAAAGTGAAAATGAACAGAATTGTGTAAGGTGAGCAACTTAACAGCGTGGAAAACTGCCTTGTCATGCTCGTTGTAGCAGAGCGCAACAGCCGATAAACAAAGGTTGTAACACCCGTTACGAGGAAGTTTAGTGGATCTAAAAAACTTGGAATATTATAAAAAAACTGTTCTGCAACTTTACAAAATGGTATAGTTAAGCTGAAAATTGTGCAAAAATTAATGGATTAATGAATCAATCCAAGGGTGGTGGCGTGGGTTCAAGAGTGTCTGCTAGACAGAAACAGAAAACCCGAATTGGGCAAGAGATGTTTTCCGAGGCAAGCGTTACGTCAAGAATGCCGCAGGGGAGTTTAATTAAATCTCTTCTATTTTTTAGCGTTCGACAATGATCAGCCAGCAAACTTAATCTCAAATGTTCGGCAATTGGCAGACGATTGCATAGTTCATCGTATTATGAAGTTGACAGAAAATAAAAAAAATGCGGCATTGTAATTTTGATGCGTTATATTACTGGGCGGAAAATAATGGTAGGGCCATAAATAGCCCTAAAAGCATATCTATCACTTTTGGAACAGGTCATAATTACAGAGAAACAAATTACCGTTTATATAACATTTTTTTCGAGTATTAAGGATAAGACAGTAAATTAATCTGGAAAAGTCACGTATATTTTGTTGTAGGGACTGCCTGGAGATCTCTTCAGAATGTAATGCACGTCTTAAAAAAAGTACGTTAAAAGGGAAGGAAATTGTTTTTTTTATCGTTTGTCCGATAATCGAAAATGGAACAATTTGTTGGGATCCGCACAAAATTAAGGTGTGTAAAAAATATGGAAATTTCGGAAGTAAATTTAGCTGTGAATGACAGCTAAATTTACTTTCAGGAAAAAGAAAATAGCTGGGTGGAATTCACTCGAAACAAAAGCGATCAATGGCAAGATTGCATTTTTTGTAAAGTTTATAGCTGTTATTCAGCTTGGAAGGAAATTATTTGGCTTCTAAATATTCCTCCTACAACAATAGAGGGAACCACAAGCACGAAATAAATTTAATATCGCAGAGACCGGATGTCGGAAAATTTTCTTTCACAAATAGAATAGAATGGAATGGAATATAAACATTTCAACCGTTTCCTCGAAGCGTTGAACAGTTTAGAAAATTAATAAAGGGGATTCCTAAGTAAATGAGGGACTTAACTAAGAATAGAATATTGTATACCGATACATAAGTGATGTATTGAGAAGCGAGATGTTGTGAAGTGTAGAGGAGCGCAATAAACCAAGGAAGTGATTTAAGTGTCATAGTGAAGTGAAGTGAAGTGAAGTGATGTGTGAAGTCTACAAACATTCAGTGCGGATTTAGATTGTAGAAGAGTATTTTTCTTAATTACCTTAATGCGGTTTAAATTACCAGGCGCGCTTGAGTATATTATTATTTATTATTGATTATATTATTATTAGTATTATTATTATTGTTATTATTGTTGTTATTATTATTATTATTATCTTACATTATTCACAGTATTCTACCTGGTCGGTATTTCAACCACACACAGGTATGATGACCCGGTGTGTGGTGTGCTTTACTGAAGGTTCAGATGGCTTCTGACAATACGGCCATGCATTCAAAATTAGTCTTTTGCATATTATAACATTCCTGGTATCCAAGTGAAGACACTCCAGTGCCCCCGAAGTGTCATTTTTCGCGATCACTCCCGTAGCCTGATATTATTATAGGCCACAGTCGTCACTTTACTGAAGTTCCACTGAGTTGCGACTTCATGGGCGAGTTCGGTTATACTTTCTGGATCTTCCTCTTGATAATTTTCCCGCGATATGTTGTGGGTATTGGGTTATTGATATATCCGATAAGGAAAACCTGCTGTTGGTTTCTATCAATGTACGTTATATCAGGTCTATTGCCACCGACATGTCTGTCAGTGATATGGAACCATCCCAGTAGAGTGTGGTGCTCACTACTTTCAAGCCATTCTGAGGCATATATGTTATAATACGGCACGGAACTGCGCGAGTAAGTCCCTTCTCAATGCCAATAATGTGTGTCCTGTACTCTTCCGCCACTTTCATCATGCCTCTTTTTGTATTCCACCTGTGCGTGCTTGCTACATCCACTTGTCACGTGTTGGATAGTTTCGCTTGCAGCCTCACATCTTCTATACGAGTCGGAATGAATGGTAGAATCTCTCAAATGTGTTTTCTGCAGTTCAATTTTGGTAACCACTTGGTCATGGATAGCTATCATGAAAGCCGCATTCATGCTCTCCCCGGCGAAGAGGATCCCCGTGCTGGAGCACCGAATTATTATTATTATTATTATTATTATTATTATTATACCATGTTTATTATATTCTTCGCATTGGTAGTTATATTACCTTATTTATGCAATTAACTTGCTCTTAATTAGCCGCGTTATATTCTATTGCAGTTTAAAAAAGGATAAAACCGAATAAGTTTGTGAAAAGTGCCACCAAACCAAAACGATAAATGTGATGCTTATATGAAAGAGACTTAGTTGTGCTACAGAACGACACAGGCTCTCCCGTTTCAGTTTTTCATACTCTTTGGTCTCGGCAAACTATTCGGACTTGTCACATACTCTTATATGCACATACACTGCCCAATCACCGCCCAAGTCCATTTTATGACTTTTCTTATTTTTTGATTTTTTAATAGTAGAAAAGAAATATTATTTAAGAATATTAAAGAACAGTTAAACCATGTACTAAATGACAATTTTCTTTCAAAAATGTAGAGCTAATTGTAAGAAAATTATTTTTAAGCACTACTCTAAATTCGAAATTTGATGCTCTTTTCCACTGACCACTTTTGCGTTTCCGAAAAACTTCATTTGAAGCACATTAACTCACAAATATAATAGTGTTTACAAAGTGCTGGAAATGTGCATATTATCGGCGTAAGAGTTCTTCCAAAAAATTACATTTGTTTAATTAAAAAACAAAACAAAAAGTACACCGAAATGAACTTTACTTCATATTACAAAGTTTCAGAAGAAAAAACTACAGCATTTTTTGAGAAAATGGCGTTTGACGTTTCTGAATATGTGGAATTTTGATCTAATTTTCACAGAAAACGGTTGGGTTTTCAAAAAACTGTATGTGACATTATTTAAAGCACATATACTCATAAATATAGTAATGTGATCAAATTGATGATCCTGTAAATATTAACGACATGAGAAACAAATCAAAAACTTATATTTTTGTAATTTAAAAAAACATAATAATAGAGCAAAATTGCGTTTCTGTCATTTTATAGAGTGCATTTAGTACTAGTGATTTAGTACTATTCTTACCAAATGTTGAAAGGGAAAATGTGAAGTGATTTTTGAAAAAAAATTGTTTTCGTAATTTTTTAAAATTGCAAATATTGGACGCATTATTACAAACTTAAGTTTTATTTAGTTACTACTAAAGTTTTCTACATGATTTTAAAGATATCTACATGATTTTAATGAAAGAAATCACTACGGAGAAGAAATTTTAATTGCAGGAAAGTTTGTATCTTCATTTTTGTACTTGTAGGAAGACGCCCGAAAATTTTCAAAATTTCAAAATTAGGAAAGTTAAGAGCTGACATTGAAAATTCAAATCTATGCCACCTTTAAGTGGATTTTAGTCTATTCTTACAAGAAAATTTTAAGAAAAATTTGAAGCCATTTTTGAGAAAATTTTGAAAGTATACAGGCTTCATGTAAAGTACCCCCAAATTTTAAAGAATGCATTTCAAAATCTCAAAGCTTCGACTCGAGACAGATGGAC